GTCAAGCTACATTGATTTGGAAGTATAAATGCACCCTATTGTCTCCATAGATACTACATCTTCTATATGTATTAATATGTATACCACATTTTGGTATGTAACTTTTATGGAGGTAAGTTTTAGTATGTGTATTTGTAGTGTTTTTGCTGTGTTCGTGTATTTTAATTGTCTGGTAACTCCTCATGAGGAGAGGTAGGTAAGAAATATAATAATAATAATAATACATCACACAATCCTAGACACTTGGAAAGTGTTCGACTGGTGATTTTGTGATACAAAATCCAGTATATATATCACATTTGCTGTGACATACTGTGTTTTAGTGTCAGTAAAATAATAATAATAATAATAATAATTATTATTATTATTATTATTATTATTATTATACACACATATAAGTGCTCCCATTCCCACCTCAAGTTGTAACTTCTTGCTTCCCCTTCCTTGCCTTTCTCCTCTAGCCTATTTATAATTTGAGTGGCAAAAAATGTGCTTCTAGGTTAGATAACCTGACTTCCTTTTTCAATCAATTCCATTTTCTGACAGTGCACTGGCCCTTGATCTTCAAGGCACCCCAATACTCTTCATTCTCTCTCATATGTATTTAACTGCCCTAGCTCAATACTATGGAATCCCTTCCAAAAGACATCAGAATGGCCCTCTCCCTACTAATTTTCATGTTCCACAAATACTTTTCTCTGAAATTAGGCCTTCAATGAAGAATACAAGAGCGATAGGCACTATAGTAACATTTGGGCTGAATCATTTTTGTGCAACACCTTTATGGACAAGTGGCAACTGGATGGATAATGGCTTTGGTTCATGTTTGTTTAGTTTTAACTATACCTAAAGTGCTGAATTATTTTAATCTGCAATGTGTTCACTTATGATCTAACTGCTTTATTATCTCTCAATTATTTTTTTAAATCATGTTGACTTAGAATAATAGAATCAAAGAGTTGGAAGAGACCTCATGGGCCATCCAGTCCAACCCCCTGCCAAGAAGCAGGAATATTGCATTCAAATCACTTCTTTTATCCCAAAGTACCTTGTATGTTTTATACCTTGTTGTTAGTCACTTTGAATCCCCGACGGGGGAGAAAAGCTGGATATAAATTAATAAATAATATTATTTCTTCCACGTCTCTGGAACTCTCTCCCTGAAGAATTAAAAATGGTCCCCTTCTTACTCCCTTTTAAAAAACAGGTAAATGATTGTTTAGAGTATTATGTATGATTACCACCAACCGGAAAGGATGTTTTACACTGGCTTTCTTGGCTGCATAACATTTTAATAATTTTAAATGTATTCTTAGATTTGACTAGATTTGTATGATGTTTTAATGTTAGATGTGAAGTAATTGATCAGTTATGTTATTATTTAATTTTTGATTATGTCTTATAATTTTGTGTTGTATGTGGATTTATTTTTGGGATTTGGTTGGATTGATTTGTTTTTGTTGGTTTATTACGGCATTGAATGTTTGCCATTCTTTTGTTGGAAACCACTCTGAATCCCCTCGGGGAAGATAGGTGTGGGATATAAAGTTTTATTATTATTTTATTATTATATCAATAATCCTGGAAATTGTAGTTCGGTGAGGTGCCAGCTTTCTTTGAGATGGCTCAAGACCTAGCAAAACTATAACTCCCATGATTCCACAGCACTGAATCATGGCAGTTTGCGGTGACAGGTTGTATTAATTTGACAGCTATGGCGTCTTGGGAGCAGAGAGAAGGCTCAAGTACTACAACTCCCTGGATTCCAAAGCATTGAGCCAAGGCATTTAAAGTGGTGTTAAACTGCCTCAGTTTGGCAACTAAAAATGGCAATGGGATTTTGGCCTGCATCAATAGGAGTATAGTGTCAAGATCCAGGAAAGTCATGCTACCCCTCTATTCTGCCTTGGTTAGACCATACTTGGAATATTGTGTCCAATTCTGGGCACTGCAATTGAAGGGAGATGTTGACAAGCTGGAATGTGTCCAGAGGAGGGCAACTAAAATAATCAAGTGTTTGAAGAACAAGCCCTATGAGGAGCAACTTAAAGAGCTGAGCATGTTTAGCCTGCAGAAGAGAAAGCTGAAAGGAGACATGATGATGGTCATATATAAATATGGGAGGGGAAGTCATAGGGAGGAGGGAGCAATCTTGTTTTCTGCTACCCTGGAGACTAGGATGTGGAACAATGGCTTCGAACTACAGGAAAGGAGATTCTACCTGAACACGAAGAAGACCTTCCTGACTGTGAGAGCAGTGGAACTCTCTGCCCCAAAATGTGGTGGTGGCTCCTTCTTTGGTGGCTTTTAAACAGAGGCTGGATGGCCATCTGTCAGGGGTGCTTTGAATGTGATTTTTCCTGCTTCTTGATAGGGGGTTGGACTGGATGGCCCACGAGGTCTCTTCCAACTCTATGATTCTAAGAACTTCAATGTATCAGAATTATCTCAGGATCCTTCCATGCAGTTGTATAAAATCCACATTGAAATGGATTATATGGCAGTGTGGGCTCAGGGCCCTTCTACACAGACATACAACCCAAAACATCAAGGCAGATAATCTACAATGTCTGCCTTGGACTGGGTTATCTAAGTCCACCCTGACATATTCCAGTTCAATGTGAGATTGAATATAGCTGTGTGGAAGAGGCCTCAGCCCAAGCACAGATCTCTACATATAGCCATCCCCTGCCACATGTTGCTGTGGCCCAGTCTGGTGAGCTGGAAAATAAAGTAGGGAGAAAGTGTTGGTTGATGTAATTTCTTTATGCTTGTGGGTAAACAGTATTTCTTGTTGTTTCTTTGTCAGTGTTGATGTGGAGATTGTCTGGACTGCCTACTCTGGAACAAGCAACATATAATTGTCCTTCTTTAAGGATTCCTTTTCAAAATCTATACTATATCTGTCATATACATACATATTTGTGTGTGTGAATCATATATACCTTATCTGTATCTATGGCTTGATGGCTCTTTATCAGGAGGGCTTTGATTATGTTTTCTTGAAGGAAGTTGGAGTGGATGGCCTTAAGGCAGCATTTCTCAATCTGGGGGTTGGGACCCCGGGGGGGGGGTCACAAGGGGGTGTTAGAAGGGTCGCCAAAGACCACCAGAAAACACAGTATTTTCTGCTGGTCATGGAGGTTCTGTGTGGGAAGTTTGGCCCGATTCTATCGTTGGTGGGGTTCAGAATGCTCTTTGATTGTATGTGAACCGTAAATCTCAGTAATGACAACTCCCAAATGTCAAGATCTATTTTCCCCAAACCCCATCTGTGTTCATATTTGGCATATGGAGTATTCATGCCAAACTTGGTCTAGATCCTTAACTGTTTTGAGTCCACAGTGTTCTCTGGATGTAGGTAAACTACAACTCTTAAATTCAAGGTCCATGCCCACCAAACCCTCTAGATCAGTGGTTCTCAACCTGTGGGTCCCCAGGTGTTTTGGCCTACAACTCCCAGAAATCCCAGCCAGTTACCAGCTGTTAGGATTTCTGGGAGTTGAAGGCCAAAACATCTGGGGACTCACAGGTTGAGAACCACTGCTCTAGATCCTTAAATGTTTAAGTCTACAGTGTTCTCTAGATGTAGGTGAACTACAATTCTGAAATTCAAGCCCACCAAACCCTCCCTGTATTTTCTGTTGGTCATGGGAGTTCTGTGTGCCGGGTTTGTTCTACATCCTTAATTGTTTGAGTCCACAGTGCTCTCTGGATGTAGGTGAACTACAACTCCTAAACTCAAGGCCAGTGCCCACCAAACCCTTCTAGTGTTTTAAATCTCAGTAACTACAACTCCCAAATGTCAAGGTCTATTTTCCCCAAACCCCTTCTGTGTTCATATTTGGCATATGGAGTTTGGTCTAGATCCTTAATTGTTTGAGTCCACAGTGTTCCCTGGATGTAGGTGAACTACAACTCCTAAACTCAAGGCCAGTGCCCACCAAACCCTTCTAGTGTTTTAAATCTCAGTAACTACAACTCCCAAATGTCAAGGTCTATTTTCCCCAAACCCCATCTGTGTTCATATTTGGCATATGGAGTTTGGTCTAGATCCTTAATTGTTTGAGTCCACAGTGTTCCCTGGATGTAGGTGAACTACAACTCCTAAATACAAGGCCCATGCCCACCAAACCCTTCTAGTATTTTCTGTTGGTCAGGAGAGTCCTGTGTGATAAGCTTGACTCAATTCTATAGTTGGTGGGGTTCAGAATGCTCTTTGATTGTAGGTGAACTATAAATCGCAGCAACTACAATTCCCAAGTGACAAAATCAATTCTGACGATCACTCCTTGGGTTAGTAGGTGCCTTATGGCCAAATTTGGTGGCAATGAGTCCAGCGGTTTTTGAGTTATGATGTCACCCAAAACGAACAGAGCATTTATATATATATTGTCGAAGGCTTTCATGGCTGGAATCACTAGGTTCTTGTAGGTTTTTTCGGGCTGTAGGGCCATGTTCTAGAGGCATTTCTCCTGACGTTTCGCCTGCATCTATGGCAAGCATCCTCAGAGGTAGTGAGGTCTGTTGGAATTAGGACAATGGGTTTATATATCTGTGGAATGGCTGGGGTGGAGCAAAGAGCTCTTCTCTGCTGGAGCTAGGTGTGAATGTTTCAACTGACCACCTTCATTAGCATTTGAAGGCCTGGCTGAGCCTCGGAAAATCTTTTGTTGAGAGGTGTTAAGATGTGCCTGGTTGTTTCCTCTCTGCTGTTTTGCTGTTGTAATTTTAGAGTTTTTTTTAATACTGGTAGCCAGATTTTGTTCATTTTCATGGTCTCCTCCTTTCTGTTGAAATTGTCCACATGCTTGTGGATTTCAATGGCTTCTCTGTGGAGTCTGACACTTTTATATATAGATAAGATATAATCTACATACACACAGCCTCTCTTCTTCCCTCCTCACTTCCCCTTCTTGGCTTTCCCTCTTCTCCTCCTCCTCCTCTCCACAGAATAACCTCGCAACCCTCCTCCAGGCCCAGCCGCCTCCTCCTCTCACCTTTAAGAGATTAGACGTCGCCATGTTGCCCCCCTCCACAGCACGCAGGGGGAGGGGGGCCCGCGCAGGCGCACAAGAGAGGCCTGACCAGGCCAGCGGCGGCGGATGAGATTTCGGCGGCGGCTTCCTCTCTTCCTCCGCTTCGGTCAGGGCCTGTCACTCGCTCCCGCCTCCTCTTTCCCCCTCAGCGCCTCATGGCCCCTCTCATGGAGGAAGAGGAGGAGGAGAAGGCTTCGCAGGAGAGCCGTCGTCTCGCAGCGGCCCGGCTCCGCGAGAGCCCACATGATGCGGCGCCCCAGAGCCGGAAGCCCCCGCCGCACTGAGGGAAGGGGAGGGAGGGAGGGAGGGAGAGTGTGCGCCGCGGAGGCTTCCCACCACAGCGGCCCCTGCCGGCCGGAGGTCGTCCTGACACTCTTTTTTGGATTCCTCGTAGAATGCTGTTCTCTTAACCCCCCTTCCGGCGATGACGTCATCGCTTGCAGCCCCTTCTGATCTTGGAAGCTAAGCAGGGTCGGCCTTGGTCGGTACTTGGGTGGGAGGCCGCCAAGAAGGGCCAGGTGATGTGTACTGGTCCATTTAGTTTTCTTGGCAAGGGGACGAGAGACAGGGCCTTTTCTGTGGTGGCCCCCCGGCTGTGGAAACGCCCTTCCTATGGAGGTAAGATCAGCCCCCTCGCTAATGGTGTTCCGAAGAAGATTAAAAACTTGGATGTTTGAACGGGCATTCGGTTTTAAACAGTGCAATGAATGTGATGATTACAGGAATGGAAATTTGGACGACGGATTGGATCACGACTCTAGTTATGAGATGCATTGTGTTGTCTATTGTTGTGTCAATATTGTATATTATGCTTTTATGGTTTTAAATTGTATATCGTTGATTGATTCTTATCCTTGTTGTAAACCGCGTTGAGTCGCCTGTTGGGCTGAGAAACTGCGGTATACAAGTAAAGTAAATAAATAAATAAATAAATTTAACAGCGTGGGCCAAAAGTCACAATGAGGTTTCAGTATTTAATAAGAATAACATATATATTATCTGTATTCATCTCTGGTTGTACTGGTCCATTTAGTTTTCTTGGCAAGGATACTGGGGTGGTTTGCCATTGCCTTCCCCAGGGATCACGCTTGGTCTGACCTCTCTGCCACGACCATCCCGTCTTGGGTGGCCCTTCACGGTTTCGCTCATGACATCATTGAGGTGCTCAAGCTCCAGCGCCACAACAAGGCGGTGATCCTTTGCTGGAGTTTATGCACTTAGAGTATTATTATTTTTTCTTTACATAGATTATTTTGTGTATTTTGACATCCTACAAGTATTCCGGGATAGTGTTTAGTATTCGAGAGGGATTGGCTGGTGACTGCTGGAAGAGCACTTTGGTTTTCTCAATGTTCAATGAGATGCCAAGCTTCTCATATGCTTCTGCAAAGGTGTTTAGAGTGGCTTGTAGGTCTTCTTCTGAATGGTGGTCTCCTTCTTTTAAACAGAGGCTGGATGGACATCTGTTAGGGGTGCTTTGAATGTGATTTCCCTGCTTCTTTGCAGAGGATTGGACTGGATGGCCCACGAGGTCTCTTCCAACTCTATGATTCTATGAATGTGCACAGACTATGTTATCATCAGCATATTGGAGTTCTGTAACAGATGTTGTTGTGACCTTGGTTTTGGCTTTCAGTCTGATGAGGTTAAACAGCTTGCTGTCATTGAGGTGCTCAAGCTCCAGCGCCACAACAAGGCGGTGACCCTTTGCTGGACAGACTTTGTATTTCTAGGTGCAAAGATTACTGCAGATGCAGACTGTGGCCAGGAAATCAGAAGACGCTTACTTCTTGGGAGGAGAGCAATGTCCAATCTCGATAAAATAGTAAACAGAGACATCACACTGGCAACAAAGTTCCACATAGTCAAAGCCATGGTATTCCCTGTAGTAACCTACGGATGTGAGAGCTGGACCTTAGGGAAGGCTGAGCGAAGGAAGATAGAGGCTTTTGAACTGTTGGAGGAAAGTTCTGGACTGCGAGAAGATCCAACCAGTCCATCCTCCAGGAAATAAAGCCCGACTGCTCACTGGAGGGAAGGATACTAGAGACAAAGTTGAAGTACTTTGGCCACATCATGAGGAGACAGCAAAGCTTAGAGAAGATAATTATGCTGGGGAAAGTGGAAGGTAAAAGGAAGAGGGGCCAACCAAGGGCAAGATGGATGGATGGCATCCTTGAAGTGACTGGAACCTTCTTCCTTAAAATAATCAACATTTGTGTGTTATCACGAAAAAAACCAATTAGAATGAACCTCACAAAATGATAATTGATATAGGTTCATTTGCAAAGCACGACAAAAAGACATAATAACCATTATTAAAAGAGCCGGTGTGTGTTAGGGGGAGGACCATGGCGACTCACTCGAGGCGAGGATTAGCGATCGTGCGGCGACCAAAAGGCGGGGGCCGACCACAAGGGCGGATCGGCGACGACAGAGGGCAAGGAGAGGGCGATTGGCGGTCCGTTTGTCTAGGCGAGGCGCGCGACAAAGGCCACATCATGAGGGGAAAGCCTAGAGAAGACAATTATGCTGGGGAGTGGAAGGCAAAAGGAAGAGGGGCCGACCAAGGGCAAGATGGATGGATGGCATCCTTGAAGTGACTGGACTGACCTTGAGGGAGCTGGGGGTGGTGACGGCCGACAGGGAGCTCTGGCGTGGGCTGGTCCATGAGGTTACGAAGAGTCGGAGATGACTGAACGAATGAACAACAACATCTGTATGCATATAATGTCTCTGGCATAGACACTGAGAACTGGGAAGCCCTGGCTGGAGGTCAGCTGTGACCAGCAGTGCTGTAGAATCTGAAGGGGCAAAAGAGAGAAACATGTCAAGAGGAAGGCCTGCCAAGCCAACCCTGACTGGGACCACTTTCCACTTGGAAACCAATGCCCTCACTGCGGGAGAAGATACAGATCAAGAATAGGGCTCCGCCGCTTATACACCGATCTTGGAAGACAATCCTACTCGGACAACGAGGGATCGCCTATGTATGTAAGTAAGTAAGTAAGTAAGTAAGCATATAATGTGTATATGTATATACATGTACACACATATATTTGTATACACACATGTGTATAAAGTGTATGTATATACATCTACACATATACACACATTTATGTATAATGTGTATATGTACATTATACACATGTATACACATATATGTATAATGTGTGTATGTATATACATACACACATGTATTTATGTATGTGTATATGTATATACATGTACACACATATATACATATATGTATGTGTATATGTATCTATGTGTGTAAATGTTTCACATGTAGATATTTATGTATGTTTATATGTATATACACATATACATTTATGTGTATAATGTATGTATGTATATCTGTGTACATGGACACACATAACATGTATAATGTGTATGTGTATATGCATGTACACACATATGTGCACACATATGTATACACATATGTATAATGTCAATATATACATGTAAACACACATATACACATATATAATATGTATATGTATATACACGTACACACATGTATACAAACATATGTATAATGTGTATATGTGTATACAAGTACATACATATACATATATATTTATGTATGTTTAGATGTATATACATGTACACACATATACACACACAGGGTGCATCTACACTGTAGAATTTTACTGTTTATGGATGTATTTTAATTTGATTTATGTCTAACTGTAATTGTACAATTGTGATTGTTTGTGCTGGCATTGAATTTTGCCATTACCTATGTGGAAACCGCTTTGAATCCCCTTCGGGGTGAGAAAAACGGTATACAAATGTTGTAAATAAATAATAAATAAATAAACATATCCTCTGAAGATGCCAGCCATAGATTCAGATGAAAAGTCAGGAGAAAATGCCTGGAAACCACACAACACCCCAGTGATTCCAGCTGTGAAAGCCTTCAATAATACAGATGTATCATATGTATGTTATTAAATATTGAAATTCCTTTGTGTCTTTTGGCCTACTCTATCTATTATGATGCCATGGTATTGGATATAATTTACCCAATTAGATTTTTTACATGTAATGTACTCCATGTGATGCTATGATGTTGTAACCTACAAAACAAAAAAATTAAGGAGTTATTAAATATTGAAAACTATTTGTGACTTTTGCCCACCTTATCGATTTCCAAGGAAGGAACTGGCAAAAATCACCTCTGTGAATGTACCTACGCTTTAGAATTATTGCAGTTTGCTACCATTTTAACTGCCATGACTCAATGCTGTGGAGTCATGGGAGTTGTACGTACCAGCAGTGTTGGCAAAGTAGGCTAGAGACCTTGTAGAACTGCAACTCCCATGGTTCCATAGCATTAAGCCATTACAGTCTGTCTATATTAATTTTATGGTGTAGGTGCACCTTATATATTTTGTGCCTAAGATAACTCTATGAAATTCACGAGGTCTCCATATGTCAAGAGGTGACATGAAGACGGGGCCTAAGTGATCTAGGTCTAGAAGTCTGATTATGAGCACTCTTTCTGCTTCTGTTTCATAACATTGAGCCATGGCAGTTAAAACGGAGTGTAGATGTATTGTTTGTTTCAATCCAGTTCAGCAAATATTCACTTTTCAGGCTACATAAATCAGACCAAGGACTCATCAGAATAGAGTACATATTACATAGCTTTATTTTAATCTTTTTTGAAAATGGATAGACCAGAAAGAATGTAGGTAATAAAAATTGTAATAAGAGTATGATAGAAAATATCTTGCTACTTAATAGCACCTTTGTTGCTGATATCGATATATGCAACTTCCTGTAATCAAGAATGGATTGTGTTGGAAGTGAAAGGCATTCACCAAAAATACGGGTGCAGTGTCTACAAACTGGACAGATGCCCTAGCTATGTGAAAATAGTATACGAGTTTGCAAAGCAAAGTGGCAGATTAAACACTCGCACAACAAAGTGCCAGATAGGAGATGGTGAGTTTACAGGACGTACCAGTAAGTAGCATTTGAGTTTGTGGTGGTGTCTGAAGCAGGGTTCTCCAATCTGGTTTTCTCCAGATATTCTGAGCTACAGATGTAGTCATTCTCAGCTAATCTTGCAAAGAAGACTGACACAGGGTGCATCTACACTGTAGAATTAATGCAGTTAAACATCACTTTAAACCCCAATACTAATGGGAATTGGGATTTGGTGAGGCACCAGCACTCTTGGGCACAGAAGGCTAAAGACTTTGTGTAAAACTACAGCTTCCATTAATTCATAGCACTAAGCCATAGTAGTTAAAGCTGTGCCAAACAGCATTAATTCCAGGAGCTGTGGTAGCACAATGGGTTAAACCCATGTGCTGCCAAACTGCTGACCTAAAGTTTGGCTGAACTGCTGATCTGAAGGTTGGCAGTTCGAATCCGCGAGATGGGGTGAGTTCCCATTTGTAACTCTAGCTCCTGCAACCTAGCAGTTCGAAAACATGCAAATGTGAGTAGATAAACAGGAACCACTTTGGTGGGAAAAGGCAAGGAGATGCTGCAAGCAATCTTGCCAGCCACACAACCAGGAGGTAACAATGCAGGCTCCCCAGCTTGAAAACCGCAGAGCTAGACATAAGCACCACCTCCAGAAGCCGGAAATGAAAGGAGAAGCCTCTGCCTTTGTTTTGTTTGTCCACTCCATTGTATACAATTGTAAAGCCATTGAATGTTTGCCTATGTATGTAAATTTTGTAATCTGCTCTGAGTCCCCTAGGGTAGGATGGCAGAATATAAATAAAGTGTATTATTGTTATTATTATTATTATTATTATTATTATTATTATTAATTCTACAGTGTAGATGTACAAGAAGCCAGAACTTAGACACCCTGGAAGTCTGTCATTCACATCCATAGACCATGATGTGATACATAGCAATGGATTGTTGGCAGAGCTTGAAAAATTATTTTTCTAAAGGAACACCTCACTCATTGGTAGGCGTGATACCATAAATCATAGTTATTATTGTAGCCCTAGATACCAAAACTGCTCAGTATATCTTGTTAGCACTTATTTCATTGCATGAGGTAGTCCAGAGGACAAGTTTCTACCTTAAATTGGAATATAAGAAGCCTATTTTACTGAGAATGTGGGAAAAAGTCTTACTTTCATACTACCTTTCTTCACAGTTTTTAAACTTCCAGATAACACTCATACTATATCTCAACCTTCCTCGATTTGATGGGAGTATAGTCCAAATTATCTTGAAGGCAACAATTTGCAGAAGGTTGATATATGTTGTGGACCACTACTTCTTAAAACACATGGGGTTTCCCTCAACTCAGTGTTAGGGTAATGAAAAATGTGGCAACACTAAAGGGTTTCTGAATGCCACCCATTTACACAAATCTGTTTGCTACAACATGCAGTATTTACAGTGAACTCTGCAAAAAAATGCTTCAGCCGTACTCCACAAAAAGGAAAATTGGCCTGTTTAGCAAACCTTGCAAATGCTGATTATCAGTAAATATTTAATCTTATACCAATTTTATTTACCTATATATCGTGGGTCAAATAAACATTTCTCAGGCAGCAAAAGGTCATGAGTGGAAAAAGTTCTGCTGTGGAGAAATCAGTTCTAGTTGCTGCGAAAAACTAAGTTCTCAATTCAATGGAATACAAATACAGCACAATGTGATACTAATACAGTAGACTCTCAGTTAACCAGCACCCTGCCGGATACATGAAGTTTATGGCAACTTGAGAGTGACTATTAAAAATAGCCTTAACTAATACTATACCCCATAATGTATCATACAGTCTGTATTGACTTGATATTAATATTGAACTACAGTAATTAAAAGCAAATGAAGACAAAATTTAAATGAATAGCATACAGTTTTACTGTATTATGGAGCCACTGTGGCACAATGGGTTAAACCTTGTGACTTGAAGGTTGGATGAACTGCTGACCTGAAGGTTGGCTGTTCAAATTTGAGAGACAGGATGAGCCCCTGTCTGTCAGCTCCAGTTCCTGTCAACCTAGCAGTTCAAAAACATGCAAATGTGAGTAGGTACTGCTTCAGTGGGAAAAGGCAAAGAGATGCTCTTGCTGACTCATCAACCAGGAGGTGACAATGCAGGCTCATTGGCATGAAAATTGAGAAAAGCACCTCCCCAGAGCCAGAGATGAGCACTGCCTGCAGAAGCTGGCAATGAAAGGAGAAGCCTCTGCCTTTGTTTGTGTTTGTGTGTCTTATTGTATACGATTGTAAAGGCATTGAATGTTTGTGTATGCATGTAATGCTGTAATTTGCCTGAGCTCCCTAGGGGAGAAGGGAAGAAAATAAATAAAGCTTATATATAAAGTGTATATATTATGAAAACAGCTTTGCAGTTTGCTGTTTTTGTGGTTTTTTGCTGATTGCTTGAGAGTTCCAGATACTTGAGTTCCAGTTACTTGAGAATCTACTGTATTATGAAATGCAACATAACATTTTAACATTTTTGTGTTGTTGTGTGGACCACTATGATCTCAAGCAGAGTCGATGGTCCCATCTTTCGATATGTAAGATGGGAGAAGTGAGAATTTTATGAAATTTTCAGAACAAACAACCTTTGCAGAACTGCATGTTCTTTGCTGCATGCAATTTTTTATAATTTGCACATCATTTTCATGCACACGGGTGGTGAGCATGCCACATTATGCACAACATTCACAATTTAAGCATTCCAAAAAGTTATCGGCAAAGAAGACTGAATAAACCTGAATCAGCCTTTACAAAACCTTGGAAAAAACTTCACAAAACATTAGAAACAAAGAATGCAGACTTTTTTTTTTGAACCTGCACCTCTCTTGTCTTTATCTGTCCTTAACCCAATCCATGTTTTGTACTGAAAGCTTGTTTTGCTTTTTAAGCAAGGACTGAGAATCTCAAAATCCTTATATGAACCACACTTAAGTATCTCAGGAGCTATGGCAAGCTCAGGAGCCATACATTCTTAATCCATGATCTAATGCACCTTCACACGTAATCTTTCAGATGCACAGACCACATACCCCAAACACTTGTTACATACTATATGGTACTTTGGCATGCACGCAGTTTAGCAGGTACATTGGTCTCCAAGCAAGTCAGCTTCCTCCGAGGAATGCACAATGTTGGGAACAAAGCCACTTTTCACCCCTTCCCATCCATCCCGCACTGAAATCTCTCCTTTCTTCACGAGTTCGTAGATATCTCTTGTGAGGATCATAAAAGACTCTTCGACGTTGATGGCATCTTTGGCAGATGTTTCGATGTATCTCATGCCACAGTCGGACGCCAGCTCTTCTGCTTCCTCTCTCGTCACTTGACGTTCTGTCTCCAGGTCGCATTTGTGTCCCACCAAGATGAACACAATCTGGAAGGGCTCCGCGTGCATTTTACCTTCATCCAGCCAATCGTACACATGTTCAAATGAAGACCGATTTGTGATGTCAAATACCAGCAAGCCTCCCACCGAATTGCGGTAATAGGAGCGTGTGATCGATCTGCCACAGCAAATGAGAGAAACAAGAGAAATTCAAATGGAGTATATTTCATTAAATTAGAACAACTCCATAACAGAATCAGAAAGATGCAGTGACAAATTGGCATTACTTTAGATATCTATATCTGTACCTACAAATCTTTGTACCTGCACTATAGTAAAGAAAGATGTTGTTGTAAAGTTTTTTTGGTAATAATTTATTTTATTTATTTATTTACTATATCTATATCCCACCTTTCTCTGTGCCAAAGGGGAATCAAGGTGGCAATAATTCAATGCCTTAATAACAAAACATTTAAATGAAAATGTTAAAAAAGTTAAATTGCATTAAAATATTTTAAAACATTACAATTGCTATAAAACCATGCTATCCACAATCATAATCCAGGTAATTCCAGTAGTCATTGCACGTAATTCAAGTTAATTTATTGCATTATGGTTCTTTTCTGAAGGCATGATCCCACAGCCATGTCTTCACTCTCTTTCTGAAGGTCAGAAAGAGAATTTGGGAATTTCTCAAGAGTGAAATACTCAAGGCGCAATTGCAAACCGTGCCAACAAAGAGAAAAAATAGGACAAGTGCAAAGAAGCCAGAATGGATGTCCAAAGAATTTCTAACTGTGCTAAGACACAAAAGAGACATGCACAAGAAGTGGAAAAAGGGAGAAATCACCAAAGAAGAATTCAAACAAATAGCCAACACCTGTAGGGAAAAGGTCCGCAAGGCTAAAGCAAAAAACGAGCTCAGACTTGCCAGGGACATTAAAAACAATAAAAAGGGCTTCTATTCTTATGTCAGTAGAAAGGAAAAACAAGGAGGCGATAGGACCTCTTCGAGGAGAAGATGGGGCAATGCTGACAGGGGATAGGGAAAAGGCAGAACTACTTAATGCCTTCTTTGCCTCGGTCTTCTCACAAAAAGAGAGTCTTCAACCTCAGCAAGATGGAGTGGATGAGGGATTGGAGGACATCCAACCCCAAATTGGGAAAGAAGTTGTCCAGGAATACCTGGCCGCTCTTAATGAGTTCAAGTCCCCAGGGCCAGATCAACTACACCCCAGAGTATTGAAGGAACTAGCGGAAGTCATTTCGGAACCATTGGCAACCATCTTTGAGAGTTCTTGGAGAACGGGAGAAGTTCCAGCAGATTGGAGGAGGGCCAATGTGGTCCCAGTCTTCAAGAAGGGAAAAAAGGATGACCCAAACAACTACCGTCCGGTCAGCCTCACGTCGATACCGGGCAAGATTCTGGAAAAGATTGTTAAGGAAGCGGTCTGCAAACACTTAGAAACAAATGCAGTCATCGCTAATAGTCAACATGGATTTATCAAAAACAAGTCATGCCAGACTCATCTGATCTCTTTCTTCGATAGAGCTACAAGCTGGGTAGATGCGGGGAATGCCGTGGATGTAGCGTACCTGGATTTCAGTAAGGCCTTCGACAAGGTCCCCCATGACCTTCTGGCAAGGAAACTAGTCCAATGTGGGCTAGGAAAAACTACGGTGAGGTGGATCTGTAATTGGTTAAGTGGACGAACACAGAGAGTGCTCACTAATGCTTCCTCTTCATCTTGGAAAGAAGTGACAAGTGGAGTGCCGCAGGGTTCCATCCTGGCCCGGTCCTGTTCAACATCTTTATTAATGACTTAGATGAAGGGCTAGAAGGCATGATCATCAAGTTTGCAGACGACACCAAATTGGGAGGGATAGCCAATAGTCCAGAGGACAGGAGCAGAATTCAAAACGATCTTAACAGATTAGAGAGATGGGCCAAAACTAACAAAATGAAGTTCAACAGTGACAAATGTAAGATACTCCACTTTGGCAGAAAAAATGAAATGCAAAGATACAGAATGGGTGACGCCTGGCTCGAGAGCAGTACGTGTGAAAAAGATCTTGCAGTCCTCGTGGACAACAAGTTAAACATGAGCCAACAATGTGATGTGGCGGCAAAAAAAGCCAATGGGATTTTGGCCTGCATCAATAGGAGCATAGTGTCTAGATCTAAGGAAGTAATGCTACCCCTCTATTCTGCTTTGGTTAGACCATATCTGGAATATTGTGTCCAATTCTGGGCACCACAATTCAAGGGAGATATGACAAGCTGGAATGTGTCCAGAGGAGGGCGACTAAAATGATCAAGGTCTGGAGAACAAGCCCTATGAGGAGCGGCTTAAAGAGCTGGGCATGTTTAGCCTGAAGAAGAGAAGGCTGAGAGGAGACATGATAGCCATGTATAAATATGTGAGAGGAAGCCACAGGGAGGAGGGAGCAAGCTTGTTTTCTGCTTCCTTGGAGACTAGGACGCGGAACAATGGCTTCAAACTACAAAAGAGGAGATTCCATCTGAACATTAGGAAGAACTTCCTGACTGTGAGAGCCGTTCAGCAGTGGAACTCTCTGCCCCGGAGTGTGGTGGAGGCTCCTTCTTTGGAAGCTTTTAAGCAGAGGCTGGATGGCCATTTGTCAGGGGTGATTTGAGTGCAATATTCCTGCTTCTTGGCAGGGGGTTGGACTGGATGGCCCATGAGGTCTCTTCCAACTCTTTGATTCTATGATAGGGGGCTTATCTAACATCACTGGGGAGGCAGTTCCCCAACTGAGGGGCCATTACTGAGAAGGCCCTGTCTCTCATTCCCACCAGTTGTGCCTTCGAAGGAGGTGGGACCGAGAGCAGGGCCTCCGCAGATGATCTTAAACTCTGAGATGGTTCATAGAGGGAGATATGTTCACACAAGTAAGCTGGGCCGGAACCATTTAGAGCTTTATAGGCTAAAGCCAGCACTTTGAATTGTGCTCAGTCGCGAACTGGCAGCCAGCGGAGCTCATGTAACAGGGGGGTGGTATGCTCCCTGTACACAGCTCTGGTAAGCAATCTGGCTGCAACCTGTTGGACCAATTGGAGCTTCCAAACAGTCTTCAAAGGCAGCCCCACATAGAGCGTGTTGCAGTAATCTATTCAGGATGTAACCAGAGCGTGGATTACCGTGGCGTCAAGGTACGGGTGCAGCTGGCACACAAGTTTGAATTGTGTGAAAGCTCCCCCAGCCACTGCAATGTTTTAGAACAACGCCATAAAAGTGTGCATTGATTTTCCACAAGACAACAAAAGGCAAACAAACTGATTGTAGACCACACCAGGCCAAATATAGAATAGAATACAACTGTATGGTTCCCCAAAGGCTATCTACTCTGGCTCCTATGCAGGAATACAAAAACATGTTTCAGAAAGTTGCTTTTTTGTTATGGATTACTAGTACCAGTCCTGGTTGGGTGAATTCTGGATGTATCTACATCGAAGAATTAATGTACTGTGACATCACTTTCACCACCATGGCTCAATGCTATGGAATCATGAGAGTGAACTATAGTTTTCCAATGTCTTTGGTCTTCTCTGCCAAGAATGCTGGTTCCTCACCACAGGCAGATTGTGGCATCACTGTGGATGTGCCTTCAAGTCACTTGTGGGCTTATGGCACCCCATGAATTTTGTAGGGGTTTTTAAAGGCAAGGACTGCTCAAATATGGTTTTGCTGGGTTGCTCGGAGTTTTCCGGGCTGTACAGCCATGGTCCAGAAGCATTTTCTCCTGACATTTTGCCCACATCTATGGCAAGCATCCTCAGATGTTGAAGTTCTGTTGGAAATTAGGCAAGTGAGGTTTATAGATCTGTGGAATGTCCAGGGTAGGTGAAAGAACTCCCAGCCAGGCTTCGAAGCTGCAAGGCCATTAAATGCCTATCAAGGTGCCCAATTGCAACATTCTCACTTGCCTCAAACAGGCAAGAGTTCTTTTTCCCACCTTGGACATTTCAAAGATATATAAATCCCACTTTCCTATTTTTATTTATTTATTTATGACATTTATATGCTGCCATTCTCACCCCGAAAGGGACTCAGAGCGGCTTACAAGATACATATACATACAATATATTATATATTTAACATAGTACCATATCAGTATTATATATTACTATATTGTACTATACCATTATATTGTAATATTATTTATTATTACATGTAATATAAAATATATAATTTTTTTTGTCGTGTAGGAGCAACTTGAGAAACTGCAAGTCGCTTCTGGTGTGAGAGAATTGGCCGTCTGCAAGGACGTTGCCCAGGGGACGCCCAGATGATTTGATGTTTTTATCATCCTTGTGGGAGGCTTTTCTCATGTCCCCGCATGAGGAGCTGGAGCTGATAGAGGGAGCTCATCCGCCTCTCCCTGGATTTGAACCTGCAACCTGTTGGTCTTCAGTCCTGCCGGCACAGGGGTTTAACCCACTGCGCCACCGGGGGCTCCGTTATATAATTATAATATTGTATTATTATTTATAATAATTATAATATAATATAATATTTATAATGTTATAATGTAGTACAATACAATACTAATAATAATACAATATATAATTATAATATTGTATTATTAGTAGTATTGTATTGTATTACATTATAACATTATAAATATTATATTATATTATTATAAACTTGCCTAGTTTCCAACAGACCTCACAATCTCTGAGGATGCCTGCCACAGATGTGCTTCTGGAACATGGCCATACAGTCTGAAAAACAGCAACCCAGTGATTCCGGCCATGAAAGCCTTTGACAACACATCGTTTTGCCACTTCCTTCCTCTGAAATATGAGAGATCACCAACAAATTCCAGGTGTTGTAGGCTATATTTCAAAGGAAGAAACTGGCAAAACCCACCTGTATTCCCTGCCTAAGAAACTACTATCAAGCCATAAGGCAGTGGTTCTCAACTTGTGGTTCCCCAGATGTTTTGGCCTTCAACTCCCAGAAATCCTAACAGCTGGTAAATTGGCTGGGATTTCTGTGAGTTGCAGCCAAAACACCTGGGGAACCACAGCTTGAGAACCACTGCCATAAGGCAACAGTTGACTTGAAGGGATATGTATACACATATAAACCAAAAAAAAGGATTAAGTCCAGATGAAAATCCAGAATGGATTCATTGCCTCAATATGAGAACCACTGCCCGGTACTCATTGGGAGTACCTTGTGCAGGAAGGTAAACACAGTACAGCTTCTTGCACTGCGTGGCTGTTTGATCTCACTGTTCATAATGCTGTACATTTATCTGCATTTGATAAATTGCGTTCTAAACCACAAAACACATTCAGGCTCAGACCCACCATTAGGAGATAGGACATTTAATCAGGCACAGCCCTACCATTCGGCAAAATGAGTCAACTGCCTTGGGCAGCCCCTTTTGGGTGTCATGGAGGAAATGGCAGGGCATTATTACTTAATGTATGCAGATTGTTCCTTTTGCTGCCTCCTTCTCCTTCTCCCTGATTTTCTGTTTCAGATGCCAAAATAATTTGGTTGGCTTGACATACTGTGTCCCTTGGCTTTAGCAATGGAGAAGCACCATCTCCTGCTTTGGCTCAAGGAGCAGAATGCCAAGCTAGAGCTGTCAACAAGAGATCTCCTTGTTTTATCTGTTTGCCCAAAGAAAACTATATTTATTAAGCCTTGGCACTATAAAAGGAGTTTGCGAGATCAGTCGCTCTCTTTGCAATGGTGCAGAAACAATGAAGCCATGGACCATATTTTAGTTATTGTGGACCACACGTTGGGAACCACTGATACTAGACCTTTTTTCTCAGCCTATGAAGCTTTTCATCAGAGATGAAGAAAGCTTTGTTTCAAAGAGTTTGCAGGATAACTAGCAGCTACAGCTTCAAAGGATTAGAAGAGGCCTGGGCAAACTTTGGCCCTCTAGGTATTCTGGACTCAACTCCCACGATTCCTAACAGCCTAACAAGCCCTATGAGGAGTGGCTGAAAGAGCTGGGCACGTTTAGCCTTCAGAAGAGAAGGCTGAGAGGAGAAATAATAACATGTGAGGGGATGTTATAGGGAGCAGGGAGCAGGCTTGTTTTCTGCTGTCCTGAAGACTAGGATGTGGAGCAATGACTTCAAACTACACGAAAGGAGATTACACCTGAACATGAGGAAGAACTTCCTGGCTGTGGAAACTGTTCAGCAGTGGAACTCTCTGCCCGGAAGGTGGCGGAGGCTCCTTCTTTGGAGGCTTTTAAGCAGAGGCTGGATGGCCATCTGTCAGGGGTGCTTTGAATGTGATTTTCCTGCTTATTGGCAGGGAGTTGGACTGGATGGCTCACGAGGTCTCTTCCAACTCCAGGATACTATGATTCTATGAGTTGAAGTCCAAAACATCTTGAGGGCCAAAGTTAGCCCATACCTGGGTTAGAATCATAGAAACAAAGAGCTGGAAGGGTCCACAAGGGCCATTCACGCTAAGGCCCTGGAAATGCTGGAAAGGTGCACTCTGCATATGCCCAGAAGCACTCTGGCAAAACTGCTTTGCCTCCACTCCACCCAAATTTTGAGAAAAAAGGGCTGAGGGAAACATAGTTCTCCTAATATTCAATTCAGTTCCATGGCTACCTGAACCTCTCCTGCCCGGCGATGTCCCAGAGCTTTGACCTCAAGTTTTGGAGGGGACTCAGGGCAGATTACAATGTACATATACATGGCAAGCATTCAATGCCATAGACATGCAACATATATAGACAGACACTCAGAGGCTATTTAACATTCCAGCTTTTCATAAGGGTATTCTGGCCACCAGGAAGCTGTTGCTTCACCGTCCATTTGTGACACTGATGAAGTACTTCCTCATTCTTTGCTTGCTTGCTGCTGATTTTTATGGCATCGTAAATTAGTTAAATTAGCCTCTCCACATAAGTGGTACCTAAATTTTCTACTTGGCAGATGCAACTGTCTTTCAGGCTACAAAGGTCGACAGCAAGCTACACAGATTGGTCTAAAGCTCACTCCAACCCAGGCTGGCTTCGAACTCATGACCTTTCGGTCAGTAGTGATCTTAATGCAGCTGACTCCCAGCCAGCTGCGCCACAGTCCCGGTGTTTATATACCTCGATATTAGGAAGAACTTTCTCATTGTGAGAGCTGTTCAGCAGTGGAACTCTCTGTCCCGGAGTGTGGTGGAGGCCGGCCCTCGACTCCTTGCATGTAACGTTCAGAGATCACTTCAGACTACTTAAGGTGTATCTACATTAATGCAGTTTGACACCACATTAACAGCCAGGGTTCAAAGCTATGGGATCCTGGGCGTTGCATTTTTGCAAGGTCTTTAGCCTTCTTTGCCAAAGAGTGCTGGTGCTTCAGTAAACTGCGGATCTCAGGGTTCCAGAACTGTGGCAAACTTGGGCCAGTAGGCTGTTAGGAATGATGGGAGTTGAAGTCCAAAACACCCGGAGGGCCCAAGTTTGCCCAGGCCTGGTGTAGACACACCCTAATGCCTGACTTCCTTTGGAAATCTTCTTTGCCAAAGGGTGCTGGTGCTTCAGTAAACTACAGCTCTCAGGATTCCAGAACTGTGGCAAACTTGGGCCCTCCAGGTGTTTTGGACTTCAACTCCCACCATTCCTAACAGCCGGTAGGAGTTGAAGTCCAAAACACCTGGAGGGCCCAAGTTTGTCCAGGCCTGGTGTAGACGCACCCTACTTCCTCTGGAAACCTTCTTTGCTGGTTCTTCAGTAAACTGCAGCTCTCAGGATTCGAGAACTGTGGCAAGCTTGGGCCCTCCAGGTGTTTTTGGACAGTAGCCTGTTAGGAATGGTGGGAGCTGAAGTCCAAAACACCTGGAGGGCCTAAGTTTGCCTAGGCCTGGTGCAGACGCACCCTAACGCCTGACTTCCTCTGGAAACCTTCTTTACTGGTTCTTCAGTAAACTGCAGCTCTCAGGGTTCCAGAACTGTGGCAAACTTGGGCCCTCCAGGTGTTTTTGGACTGTAGGCTTTTAGGAATGGTGGGAGTTGAAGTCCAAAACACCTGGAGGGCCCAAGTTTACCCAGGTCTGGTGTAGACGCACCCTAATGCCTTACGTCCTCTGGAAACCTTCTTTGCCAAAGAGTGCTGGTCCTTCAGTCAACTACAGCTCTCAGGATTCCAGAACTGTAGCAAACTTGGGCCCTCCAGGTGTTTTTTGGACTGTAGCCTGTTAGGAATGGTGAGTTGAAGTCCAAAACACCTTTGCCCATGCCTGGGTTAGAATCATAGACAGCTGGAAGAGTCCACAAGGGCCATTCACGCCAAGGCCTTGGAAGAGCGGGACAGGTGCACTCTGCACATGCCCAGGAGCACCCTAGCCTCCTCTGCACCCAGGTTTTGGGAAAAGAGGGCTGAGGGAAAGGTGGTTCGCCTGATACTCCATTCAGTTGGGTGCCTACCTGAACCTCTCCTGCCCGGCGGTGTCCCAGAGCTGGAGCTTGATCCTCTTGCCGGGCTCGATCTCGAGGAGGCGGGAGAAGAAGTCCACCCCGACGGTGGGCTCGGCGTGGCGGGGGCCCGGGAAGCGTCCCTCGGTGAAGCGGTGCAGGAGGCAGGACTTGCCCACCGTGGAGTCTCCCAGCACGATCAGGCGGAACTGGAAGCTCCAGATGGCCGTCTCCAGCGCCCCTTCGCCCGAGACCCGGGAGGCCTCCCCGCTGGCCTCCGACTCGTGTGGGGCGCGCCTCCGGGGGCGGTGGCGGCAGCGGGCCCCGATGGCTCCGATCCCGGGCATCGCAGAGGAAAGAAGGAAGGAAAAAAGGGAGGATGGTCAGGGCGGGGGAGCCCCAAGGCGAGGTGTCCCCAGCGCAGAGAGGAAAGGCTCCTTTCCTCCACGAAACCCCCCAATGGAAGCTTCAGGCGTCTCCCTTTGTTCCCTTGGAGAGAGCCCTGGATGGAAAGGGTGGGTCGCTCTCCCCTTACATTATTATGATGGGAGGAAGGCGGGCTCTCTCCCTCGCCTATCTGCTGCTCCTTCTTGGACCAACCCGAAGAGCCGCCCACGGATCTCCCTCCCTCCCTTCCCTCTCCCACCATCTGGGACCACAACTCCCAGAATCCTCACATTCCCAGCCCAGGGTGTCGGAAGGTGTCCCTCTCTGAGGTTCTGGGTCTTTAGCTCCCATCTTCCTGCCTCTTGGCTGGCGCTGGTTAGGTTTGGAAAAGTCGCATCCCTTGGAAATCCTGAAGATGAGAGGTTAGAGCACTCCTGGAATACTGTGTCCAGTTCTGGGCACCACAATTGAAGAGAGATATTGAACAAGCTGGAATGTGTCCAAAGGAGGGTGACTAAAATGATCAAGAGTTTGGAGAACAAGCCCTGTGAGGAGCTGTGCATGTTTAGCCTGTGTAGTGGAGTGGAGACATGATAGCCATGTATAAATATGTGAGAGGAAGTCATAGGGAGGAGAATCATAGAATCATAGAATCAAAGAGTTGGAAGAGACCTCATGGGCCATCCAGTCCAACCCCCTGCCAAGAAGCAGGAATATTGCATTCAAATCACCCCTGACAGATGGCCATCCAGCCTCTGTTTAAAAGCTTCCAAGGAAGGAGCCTCCACCACACTCCAGGGCAGAGAGTTCCACTGCTGAACGGCTCTCACAGTCAGGAAGTTCTTCCTCATGTTCAGATGGAATCTCCTCTCTTGTAGTTTGAAGCCATTGTTCCGCGTCCTAGTCTCCAGGGCAGCAGAAAACAAGCTTTCTCCCTCCTCCCTGTGGCTTCCTCTCACATATTCTCTTCTTCAGGCTAAACATGCCCAGCTCCTTAAGCCGCTCCTCATAGGGCTTGTTCTCCAGACCCTTTATCATTTTAGTCGCTCTCCTCTGGACACATTCCCAAGCTTGTTTTCTGATGCAATGGAACAATGGCTTCAGACTACAAGAAAGGAGATTCCATCTGAACATTAGGAAGAACTTCCTGACTGTGAGAGCTGTTCAGCAGTGGAACTCTCTGCCCTGGAGTGTGGTGGAAGCTCCTTCTTTGGAGGCTTTTAAGCAGAGGCTGGATGGCCATCTGTCAGGGGTGCTTTGAATGAGATTTTCCTGCTTCTTGGCAGTGTGTTGGACTGGATGGCACATGAGGTCTCTTCCAACTGTATGATTTTATGATTCTAGGTCTCTTACCTTTGCTCTAGCACAGGCATGGGCCAACTTCGGCCCTCCCTCCAGGTGTTTTGGACTTCAACTTCCACAATTCCTAACAGTCACTGGAATTTTCTTCATAGAAGAATATTGGACTAACATTGAAAGGTAGTTTGAATGAAGAGTTGTCAATCTTCCCTGCCCTCAGATCTGGGAATAGGATAGGATTTATCTCGCTTCTCCCATTTTGGACCACCAGTAATAAATACGGAGGTTGAAAGTAGTGGAGCTGTCCATTTCAGCACTGCCTAGAAACACAGTGAAGGGTGCCCTAAATGCAGAAGCAACAATACAGTATGACAGCTCAACCTGTTGTCAAAGGCATTCAACAACACATTGACAAGAATCAATTAGGGTCAGCTAACACCTCCCAACAAAGGATCCCCGCAGGCAGCAACCAGCCAGGTTTGAAGCTACAAGGCCATTAAATGCTTATCAAGCTGGACAATTGCAACATTCACACTTGTGTCAAACAGATAAGAGTTCTTTCTCCCATCCTGGATATTCCACAGATATATAAACCTCACTTGCATAGGTTCCAGCAGACCTCGCAACCTCTGAGGATGCCTCCCATAGATATGGGCAAAATGTTAGGAGAGAATGCTTCTGCGACATGGCAATACAACCTGGAAAACTGATAGCAACCCAGTAAGACAGCTACCAGGAAGTTAAGAAAACAAGCTATGGTTTTGTCACCTTTTGCCACTAAGATTAAATAATGATCATCCTGGCTGATGAGACGCAGATTTGGTCTCCAGGTTGTTGGTTCCCTATTCCTGAAGGAAAGCTCTTAATTTCTATACAAATAATGTCCCTGGGACTGATCAGTGGGAAGCTTGCGGGTTCTCCACAGGGCCAGGCTTGATTCTGTGAAATGCAACCCAAAAGAAACTTCTCCAACTTCTGGTTTTCTGACAATTGGTAAGGAGTCTTTCCATCAGCCATTGTATACCACTGTGCTAAAATTCCAATTCTAAACCAATGCTCACAGACACATGACATTTCTAGCAAGCTAAATGAACGAGCAGACTAGATTTAAAAGCATAATAGAGTTGTAAATGTTTCCCAGCTTCCTGAGAATAATTAATCTTCCAAATTTCCTCCACATTTTTCCTGAACTGAGCTCCATGCCTCCCCCCCCCCCCCAATAGTATTGTGCTTTGTTGTCCTGAAGCTAGATTCCTTCTTTCATGCCTGTTTTAATGAATACTTACCTCACTTGGCCTGAAAGATCTTTAACCATTTGAAGGAGTCAATTAGCATAGTACTATTTTCTTTTTAAAAATAGTACCCAATATTCTGTTGTATTAAGAAAACCAGCCCCAAACTGGCACTTCCACTGGCCATCATGACCATGATTGATAGGACTGTAGTCTAGCTAATACTGTATATCTGGAAATGGTATGATAGAAGCTGGCTGACTGAATGAAGAACAAAATAAACAGTTGGTCCTCCATATCATGGATTCTGCATCCATGGATTCACCATCTATGGCTTGATTTTTTTAAAAAAAAAACATCAAATCCAAAAAGCAAAGCTTGATTTTTTTCATTGTCCCAGTGTTGCAGTGGGTTAAACCACTGAGCTGCTAAACTTGTTGACCAAAAGGTCGCAGGTTCAAATCCAGGGAGCAGCGTGAGCTTCTGTTGTTTGCCCCGGCTTCTGTCCACCTAGCAGTTTGAAAACATGCAAATGTGAGTAGATCAATAGGTACCACTCCAGCAGAAAGGTAACAGCGCTCCATGCAGTCATGCTGGCCACATGACTTTGGAGGTGTGTACGGACAACGCTGGCTCTTCGGCTTAGAAATGGAGATGTGCACCAACCCTCAGAGTCGGACATGACTGGACTTAATGTCAGGGGAAAACCTTTACCTTTTATGAATATACAATAGGACTTGAGTATCCACAGATGTTGGTATCCATGGGGGTCCTGGAACTAACTCCCAGTGGATTTACATACCTCATAATGTCATTTATGATTGAAATGTTCCATGTTGTTTTGCTAACACTGTTTTTAAATCGTTTACCAAATATAGATTTTAAAAATTAAAGCATACAGGACAAAAAATCTTATAGTTGCATTTGAATTGGATGTTGTTAACAAATGTCCTCTAGTGGTCGCATTTAATATCTGCTTCAGCTGCACAGTATTTTTCTGTGTAGTTAGATAATTTGCCTGTTTGCCTATATTCCTTAAACATTTAAGTGTTTATCTTGCAGTAAATAAATAAATAAATAAATCTTTATTTGAGACTGGAGACAGTGTTTGACTTTTCCTGATCTGGAGGCATAACCTTTAGTTTATTTTTTTAGTCTAAGGCTGCCTTCCAGCAGACAAGTGGTTGTTGCAATTGGACAGATTGTGCCCCTGAATTTGAATGAAGCCAAAGCCACTGGGAATCATAGAGGGAGGGAGAGAGAGAGAGAGAGAGAAAGACAAAGAGAGAGATCTGCCCACACAAGTCAGTGTGAGCTTCTGCCCCAAAACAAGAGGTGCAGAACGTTGCACTCCAGGCCTGGAAACACCTACGAACACTGTGCCATACAAGAGTCCAGGAATATAAGCAAACAGTTTATTGTAAAAACATATAAAAAGGATCTAAAATAAGGAATAAGAAAGGAAGATATATAATCCAAAAAGGTTTAGCAACAAGTGATAACCAAACAATAATCAAATGTCTCATAAAGTTCCAGAGCTGACAAAGTCCAGGGACAGCCAGAAATCACAGATACAGCATAAGTCCACAATCAAGAAGGTTGTTGTTGTTCATTCATTCAGTCATCTCCGACTCTTCGTGACCTCATGGACCAGCCCACCCCAGAGCTCCCTGTCAGCCGTCACCGCCCCCAGCTCCTTCAAGGTCAGTCCAGTCACTTCAAGGATGCCATCCATCCATCTTGCCCTTGGTCGGCCCCTCTTCCTTTTGCCTTCCACTTTCCCCAGCATAATTGTCTTCTCTAGGCTTTGCTGTCTCCTCATGATGTGGCCAAAGTACTTCAACTTTGTCTCTAGTGTCCTTCCCTCCAGTGAGCAGTCAGGCTTTATTTCCTGGAGGATGGACTGGTTGGATCTTCTCGCAGTCCAAGGCACTCTCAGAAGGTATAACTAATAAAACTTGAACAGGAGTATATGAATAGGAACATAGAAAACTTCCAGGATATATTAAATCCAAAATCAAAGCTTGACTTGAACCAGGAACAAGAGAACTCAGGCTTAGCTTCTCACTCTAATGCAGTGATGACTGAACTGACCTTGTTATTTAATAGACACCCATGAAATCTTTCCGTTTCCTGTGAATTTCCTTCACAACTTCCCTAAATAATCACTCTGAATGATTCAATCCATTTTTGACTCTGATTTGTAAAGGAAGACTTTCGTTGATCTCAGTAGCTACAGGTGGATTCCCATGGGAACCCTCCTTATCACTCAGCTCTTTAGGTTGCACCTCAGAGTTGATTCATCTGCTGAAGACACCAAACCACACACAGCCAGAAGTCTTTATAGTTTATTAAAAACAAAAGGTAAAAGGTTTGTAAAAGCAAAGGTTAATGTTCCAACAGATCAATATCCTAAAGCACTTGAAGCTTAGTCCAAAAAGATACCAGCAAAGCAAAAACCCAAGAAAACATGACAAGGCCCTGAAATCATGAAACCAAAAACTGTAAGTTAAATCTAGACAAGAATAGACAAGCTCCTTAGTAAAACACAAAGTTGCTTTAACAAAGATTTGGTCTCACACACATGCCTTAATATCCTTTGCAAAATATGAAGGTGTTTCTTTGGCCCCTGGCCTCCCTCTTGTTAGCTATCCTTTTACTCCTTCGGATTTGGAATTCCAAACGGTCAGCCCGATCTAAGATTCCCATTTTGTCAAGG